CCAGCCGGGGACTCCGAGCGACGTGTTGATTTGACCATGCGCAGAGGATCACATGACGCCTCCCCGCCTGCCCAACGCCGAGAGCTTGGCCCGGGAAAAAAAGGTGGCTACTGTCTCTTCGCATGAGGGGGGAGGGGGGAGGGGAGGACCGGGAAAGGGAAAGGGGGAAGATCGGGGAGGGGGAGGGGGAGGGGGAGGGGGAGGGGTTGAGGAGGATCGGAGGATCGGGGAGAGGAAAGGGAAGGAGTATCGAGGAGGAGGGGGAGGGGGAGGATCGGGAAGAAGGGAGAGAGAGGAGGAGGATAGGGGAGGATGGGAGAGAGGGGAGGAGGATCGGGGAGGATAGGATAGGAGAAAGAGAAGATGGAGGGAGGAGGAGGAAGGAAGAATGGGAAACGGGAGGAGGAGTGAGAAGGAGATTTGGAAGAGGGATAAAAAGCAACGGGTACGACGGAGTACTCGTGTTTGTGTGTAGGGAGTGGGGTAGCAATATTATATATGCCAAGTCACGGATTACCAAGCGGGTAAGGACTATGCGCCCAACACATACATACATACACACACACAAACCCGTCCCCTTCCACTCCCTCCCTCGTTCCCCCACCTCCCCTCCTCCCCCAACCCCACCCCTTCTCTCTCCCCCAACCCTTGCAAGAGACGCCGAGCCGAACAGCATATGATAACGACTGAAGGTACTGCCTGCACTCAATGATTCTAAGTGTGCACATCCGGCCTCCACCGCAATAAGTCTGTGCGGTGAGGCCGTGCCGGCGCGTGTGTGCGACCGCGTTCGTTCGCGTGTACGTGCGTGTTCGTTTGTTTGTTAACGTTTTGAGCGAAGGGTATATCGACATGTGGATGATCGTGTTTATGCGAGTTTCTTATTTGTGCAATGGTACAGACGTGAATGAGTGAGTGGGCAAATATGTGCATGAGTAAGTGAATGAGTGAGTGAGTGAGATTGAGTAAAGTGAGTAGAGTGAGCGAATGAGTGAGTGAGAGTGAGAAAATGAGTGAATGTGTGAGTGAGCGAATGAGAGAATGTGTGAGTGAGCGAATGAGACAATACGTGAGTGAGCGAATAAGTGAGCAAGTGAGTGACTGAGGGCGTGCGTGCGTATAGGCGCTCGGGGATGATTGCTCACCTTTGAACCGCACCGTCTCTCCCGCGTAGTACAAATCAAGGGTACTTATTTTTTTCGTTAATTATCTTATCGTTTTCTTTTATTCTCTAATCGCATTCGCGCTGAAAGGGGCTGAGGAGGGGGGTAGAGTTCACACGCACTCTTAAAGTACATGACCTCCTCACATTGATTTCCATCCTTCGAAATAAAATGCTTTTCTTTATTTATCACCCATTTTCGTATTCCATGACGTCGAGTCTACTGGGTTAATGCGCACTAAGGAAGTCTCCCCCCGATAAAACTGTACCCATTTCCTACACTTAAATATAAATAAATGCATAAATATTTTTTAAAAATCTAAATGCAAAAATCTGAAGTATAATGTTAGAACAACATAGCTCTCCCTCCATTCTTCTCCCCCTTTCTCCCATCTACCCATTCTCTTATCTTTCCCTCACTTACCACCCCACCTCTTTCCCATCCACCTTCAATCACCCGCACCCCCTTTCCGCTTCCCCCATCCACACCTGGAATACCCTCCTCCCCCTTCGCCTTTCTCCTCCTTTTCCCTTCTACCTCCAGTCTATCCTCAGCCCCTCCCTCGTCCACCTACCACCCACTCTTTGCCCTCTTCCTTCCCCCTTTTCCTCCCTCAATCCTACACCCTACACCACACCTCTCCCCTCTCCTCCATTCCACCTACGGCCCCCTCCCCCCCTCTCCCCGGGCCATATCGCGGCTCAACCAAGTTATTAGCCAGATGAGCAGCCTTCGTCCCACGGCGGCCATCATGACTTGCTCCTTCCCCGCCCTCACTCCGCCGCAGCTATTTAATTCGCGACTAACTTCGCCACTGTCATCTGCTCTCCTCTCCGCTCTTCTCCTTTGCCTTCGGTTCGTCCCTCGTCTATTTCTCTCCTCCTCCTACCGTCTTTCTATCCCAATCGACTCGACATCGTTATGTTACCTGTCCTCCTCGACCTTGAACAACGGCCTTTCCGCGGCTGACTGTTCAAGCGCCCTCGCACTCGTTCTCGCTCTCTTTCAGACTTGGGACGACTATCACCCAAAGGCGTGAATAAATGGAGGAAGAGAGGAGAGGTGACAATGACAGACATGGGAGAAGGAAAAGAACGAACGCGGAAAGAGAAGTAATAAGAGAGCCGAACAGAAAAAGATAATTAGCATTCACAAGAACCGAGGTTGCTACTGCAAGACATCCGTCCATCAGTTTGCATGCTCTGTCTCTAACGCCCCCCCCCCTCCCGCCCAACTCCCACCACAAGCGCCCATCTGCCTGCCCGCGAACCATCTTCCACACACAATTTCTCCAAACATCCGCTAGAGGGCCAGGTCACATACTTACTGCGGACCCTTCGGTGAAATCTCATACGCCGAGACTTTACTTCTTGCAGGTGTTGACGTTACGGTTGGCATGTGTCGGGCCGTCATGCTGTTTGATTCAAGCAATAACTCATGACACAACGATTTCATTTGCTGTATCTGTTTATTAATCCCTTCAAGCCTTCATTCATCGATCTATCGGTCCAATCCCTCTATTCCTCCATCCTCTCACCTCTGATATATCCCCTTCTTTTCGTCCACCCATCCTGCCAACGATTCTCGCTCTCTCCTACACCCACGCCTCCCCCCATCCCTCATCCTCTCAACCCTCCCTTATCGCCTTCAGCACCCAATCCCTTCAGCTCTTTCCTCCCGAATCCTCCTTTCCTTTTCGAGCTAGCCAATTTTCTTCTCTTCTCTTCTCTCTCCTCTCCCTTCCCTCTTCTTCCCTTCCTTCCCTCCACTTCTTTCCCTTCCATCTTCTTCCCTCCTCTCCCTTCCCTTCCATCTTCTTCCCTCCTCTCCTCTCCCTTCCCTCTTCTTCTCTCCTCTCCTCTCCCCTCCCTTCCCTTCCATCTTCTTCCCTCCTCTCCCTTCCTTTCCATCTTCCCTTCCCTTCCCTCCTCTCCCTTCCCTTCCCTCTTCTTCCCTACTTCCCTTCCCTTCCCTTCCCTCTTATTCCCTCCCGTCCTTCCTCCCCCTTCCACATCCTCTCCCTGGCCACCATACGCGGCATTAATATCGCGGAGCCCTGCGGTGCCCCGAAGATAAAAATCGGGAGAATGTTGCCAATTTCTCCATCATCTGCGCCCGGAGATACGTCCCTTATGCTGGCGAGCAGGAGCGCGGAGACAGTCATGCATATACATACATATTACATGCTTGAATAAGCCCCATTCATACATACGTGCATCGATAAATCATAAGATTGATTAATTATAAATCCTATTGTAATGATGAAAATGACAATACAAATCATCATACAATAACAAAATAATGACACCATACCAACGAATCCGAAATATATATACAAAAAACTCCTCAAAACATGACTATAAGGAAAACACGGGTGTAACAGCACTCGGAAAATGGAGAAAACAGTAAGAAAACCTTATCAAAGATTACCCCCTTATCCCCCCCCCCTCCTTGACCGACCGACACACGTGCATACACATTTACTTCCGTCTGCTCTCGCGTCTGAGCTTGACTCGTTCTCTAGAGACGGGAATGGAGGGGAAGGGAGGGAAATGGAGGGGGAAGGGGAGGGAAATGGAGGGGGAAGGGGAGGGAAATGGAGGGGAGGAAATGGGAGGGGAGGGGGAGGGGAGGGGAGAGCTGGAGGAGGAGAAGTGGGAGGGGAGGGGAAGGGGGGGGGAGGGAGGAGGAGGAGGAGGAGGAGGAGGAGGAGGAGGAGGAGGAGGAGAGGAGAAGAAGAAGAAGGAGGGAGAGGAAATGAGGGAGGGGAGGGGAGAGGAGAAGAGGAGGAAGTAGGTGGGGGAGGAGGAAGAGGAGGAAGAGAGAGGAGGAGGGAAGAGGAGGAAGAGGAGGAGAGGAGGAGGAGGAGGACAGGAGGAGGAGAGGGGAAAGGAGGAGGAGGAGGGAGGGGGAAAGGAGGAGGGAGGAGGAGAGGAGGAGGAGGGGGAAGGGAGGAGGAGGAGAGAGGAGGAGGGAGGAGAGGAGGAGGAGGAGGAGAGGAGGAGGAGGAGGAAGGAGGAGGAGGAGGAGGAGGGAGAAGAAAAATGAAAGCAAGATAAAAGAAAAGGAAAGAGCAAAAGTAGACTACAGTGAAAGAAACCAGGGAGAAGGGGGAATGCTAACGGCAGTAGCTTTCATCGCAAGCAAGCAAACAAGTAAACAAACAAAAAGCCTCCACCTTGGCGCACAGACAACGGCGCTTGCATGCACGACAGGAGACGTCACGCATGCACAAAAGCATGCAGTCAACGCTCGCCGGCCCGGTTAGCGTGATCAGCTGCATGAGTGAATTATTTATACTAATTCTCTGTCTCATTTTGTTCAGTTTACTGTAATCCAACTTTCTATGTATTCGATTTCAATATATTGAACATACTTGCATTTTATAAACCATGTCTACCAGCCTAGAAAGCCTAGTATGGCTATTTTGCCTGCCTGTCTGCTTGCATGCCTTGTCTGCCTATTTTGTCTGCCTGCCTGCCTGCTTGCCTCCCTAGTTTGCCTGACTTAACTGTATGGCCTCGTTTGTCTGTCTGCCTGTCCTCCTGTCCATCTTGCCTGACTCTTATTCCTTTTGTTTAACATGCTCCTTCAATTCTACTTAAACTATGAATCACACAATCTACACCAAGATACTCCCAGCTGGTATTTCTGGATAAAAATGAAGGCTGGAGACACAGTTGCACCTCCCACTATTCACTATTACACCCGAACACAGTCTAAGTCAAATTTTAAAAGTGGCAGTTATACTCCTCATCACCTCTGATCTAGTAAAGCCAACTTCTTCTTGGCAATATGTTTCATGGAGCTGTTTCACATTTATAAGACATACAAAGACTATGGTTTTAATTGAATTACATCTGGATGAGGCTGGAGAGTTTTTCCAATTGCAATGTTTGGTGTGTGACCTTCAACTGGCTTTATAACTTTGATGTTGATTCTGGCCAAAGGCACTTCATGATAATGTAGAAATTGCCATAGCATAATCTCATTTGGTGATGAAGCCTGGAGTTAATTCCACTAAACATTTGGCATTGGTATATATTTTCCTGAAATTTTAAAGTCCAGGTATTAAATGGTTCTTCATATTCATTCATCATGAAAGCAAGCCAAGTTATTAGTATGTATGCGAACTAAATTCAGAACATAATATAGAAAAATCATGAACCTGTTCACTACAGTTTGACTAAACAAATCTAAAAGTAACAATACTTGTGAAGTACATTCTAATAAACATAAACAAAAATATGAATTAAGACCTTTATTCCCTAACTTCAAACAAAACTGAATATCCATCCAATTAAAGTTTGTGACTACATGAGTAGAAAGTAGTCTAATAATTGCTGACCTTTCTATAACCAACTTAATACTTGTAATCCATACCTATCAAGCTTCAGCTTCATAAATCAAATATGAATGGTAGAAGTTCAGAATATCAGCAACCAAACATAAGATGAGTTTGACTTTAGTTTTTTCTATACAGAATACTATGTAATGGTCAAACTGTTAAACAGGCATTACCAATATAATATGTCAAGTTAAAGTGCAATCAAGAATATCAAATAAAGATAGACCAGTACCTGCAACTCCTACACATATTGACAATTCCCCACCACCCCCAAGACTAATAGAGAGGAAAAACATTTGAAGTCAGAAGTTAAAAGCATACAGACGCTGCAAGAAAAAAGAATCATACTATATTTTGGGAAAATACTCATGTTTACCTCAAACCAACAATATCACTCAACTCGAAACGAATAGATATTCAAAATATTTCGACATCTTACGCACAAGTTCATCTTATTTGGCAGCAATTTGCAATCACAATATAAACGTATATAAAACAATAAGCCTTCAGCAATTAGAACAACTTTTCGATCATTAACCATCTGCAGGCAGATATATATGTACTGAGCACTATGAACTCTGTTGCACACACATGGTACAAGTGCTCAGCGGTCAGAGTCAAAGTACATCTGATGTGACATCACCTGATTTCCCTTCTCCTTTTCCAGCTTTATTATTTCTAATACTATTAATATCAGTACGCTTGTTATCATCAATGTTATGATCATCATAATGTTATGAAAATACTAATAGCAATAAAAACATCATTTTCAAAGAAATATGAAATGGGTGATAGATAGTATTAGTAATTGACTCCTTGACTTTGTGGAACCATCAATATAAAAACAAAATTTAAAAATTATATCACAGTGGACATATATGTTATGAAATCATTCACTTTTTCCTGAAATTTCATGAGGAAAATTGCTGTATCTAGCTTAAATTAAACTGTATGCCACAAAGCTCAAAGAATAAAAATACATGCACCTTCTCTAATAGACTAATAAAAAACCTGTAAACATAATATTTAGGCATGAACAAAGCAATCTGGAGAACTCATACAAAATACAAAATAACGTTCTTGCTACTACTAAAGAGTCAATTTTTTGTAAACCTTAAGACATAACTAACCATAACCTGAATTTCACATCAAAATCCATACAATCCTCTGCTACTCTACCAAGAAATTACCACTAAAACAAAGGGGCTGTTACTTCCATTTTAAAATGAGGCTTCACAACTAACCTGCATTAAGCTAATTATTAAGAAAACATTTTTCTGTAGCTTCCAAGTCAAAAGTAATGTGCCTTCTATGCACACAAGTGGAATAATTATATTTGTGAATTACACATGTATCATACCTATCAAACCGAATCCTCCAATTCATATCCTTGAAAGACAATATATATAAAAAATCAATATCAAAGGAAGATAATATTGACAATGTCTGTATTCTCTCTTTACTATCAAAGTAATTCACAATTTGGGCTTAAAGATAAATAAATAAAACAATGCACCCTAATATGAAAAACAAATGAATTGATAAAAAATTAAATGCAAAAGTAAAATAAAATAAAATAAAATAAAATAATAACAATAATAATAATAATAATAATAATAATAATAATAATAATATAAAAAAAAATGCAAAAAAAAAAAGAAAGAAGAAGAAAGAAAAAAAGGAATTTGTTAACCTTCAAAGGAATATGTAAATTAGCATGCCAAAGAAAAAAAGACAGAAAGAAAAAATCTATAACAAAATAAAAATGTGAAAATATTCATACTTTTAAAGCATCAATTCATTACAATGAAGTAAAACTAAATACTCTAAACTAGCATATGTTAAAAGAAAAAAATCTCATCCACAGCAAAAGATTTATATGCATACACGTATGCTTGTATGTATGTATGTATGTATGTATGTATGAATGGCTGAATGAATAAATAAATGAATGTGTATATGCATGTATGTTTTAATAGCACATGCATA